TGAGTAAATTTTAAAGGTCTTTAAATCACTTTATTCGGCGATTCACGAATCGGGCAGCATCCCATCTAGCAGACAGAGAGGAGCTCTGAGGAGCTGTACAAAATGGAAGACTTAGAGGCAGAAGCGGGTGGGGACAGGAAATTGATACGAGGCAAATAAATAAATAAATAAATAAATAAATAAAGCGCTCTTTCCCTCAGGGAGGGCAGGTGTCTATCAGGCGGAGCTCCTAATAATGTTGGGCCAGGCGATTCCTGACGGGTGGGTTGAAGATTCCATTTCTGGGAAAGCAGAAGTTATAATCAAGTCTCAGTTTGGTGACACGGGGCTTAGCATAAGTGACTCCATTTTGAGCCTTTTTGTTGAACTGTCTGTATCCAATCTCATGCTTCCAATGTCTGTCCAATATTCTGTGGTGAGCGTTCCAGCCCATTTTCGTACCTACTCTCACTGGGTGGCTTGCATCTGCAGAGATGACACCAAGGTCAAGAGTAAGTGACCAGGAGAAGCCAGCGAGGCAGTATCAGATGGAAGAGCGCCAGGCCGGGGGCAGCAGCGACCCCGCACGGGGCCAGCCTGGTGTGTGCAGGCCGGGCAACGAGTGGCCCGGGACGCCGGGGGAGAGGTCTGGGTGGCAAGAAGGGGCCAGAGCAGACTGCCAGCCTCGTGACAAAGGGTCCCCTGGGAGCCGAAAGGCAGAAACGGCCAATTACCCTTACCAGCCGTTGTACTAAATGCCACTAGGTGCCAACACTTTATGTACCTTGCAGTTTGGGGAGGCGCGTGGCGTCCGGTGGGCGGGCGACACAGACGGGCCGCGTGTGAGTTGGGTGACAGGACAGAAGGACCGGAGCTGCGTTTCAACCCAGGAAGACCGAGTTCCAGATGGCACGCCCCGCCCCCATGCGCCGTCGCCAGCAAGGCCGGGCAAGGCCGGGCAAGGCCGGGCAAGGTCAGGGCGAGACGTGGACCCGCCGTAGAGACTTTGCCTGGTTTTCCGCTGGAGATGATTCGAGAGAAGAAAACAGAGCCAAATCCGAAGGAAGGCCGAGTCCCGGCATCCCCAGGCCCGCGGACCCACGAGCAGGAACAGTCCGTGTTATTGCACATCTGACCCGTTCGGTTCCGCGTGGCCAGGGCTGAGACGCAGGTGTGTCGCTGGCATTGCGCGTGAGGCACAGGAGACCCCGTGCTGTGCCATCCAACGGCGGGGGGGGAGAGGGGAGGGGGGAGGG